GAGAGAGAGAGAGAACATTTTTTAGGAAAAGACAGGGAAATGCTGATCTTAGAGATGAGCAAGATGGATGTGAAAATAGTTTCACGTAGGTCCGAAAACACTCGGGCTCAGACCAGAGAGGAAATTGTTGCTTTAAATCAGTGGTTCTCAACCTTCCTAATGCTGCGACCCTTTAATACAGTTCCTCATGTTGTGGTGACCCCTAACCATAACATTATTTTCGTTGCTCCCTCATATCTGTAATTTTACTACTGTTATGTGTCGTATTGTAAATATCTGATTTGCAGGATGTATTTTCGTTGTTACAAATTGAGCATAATTAAAGCCTAGTGATTAATCACAAAAACAATATGTAATTATATATGTGTTTTCCGATGGTCTTAGGCGACCCCTGTGAAAGGGTCGTTTGACCCCCAAAGGAGTCGCGACCCACAGGTTGAGAACCGCTGCTTTAAATCATGAGTTCTCAGATTGTAGTGTGTTTTAAACGCCTCTGGATGGAGGGGTCGGGGGTGGGGGTGAGCATGTTAACAAATGCAGCTTCCTAGGTTCCACCTCCACGGATTCTGATCCAATTGGCCTGGGAGTTGTCAGGAATTAACATTTTTAACAAGCCCTCCCACCCCATAAAGATTCTGACACAGAGGGTCAGCAGGTCACACTTTGAGAAGCACTGAAGGTAGTAGTTTCATATCATTCATACCACAAAATTCCCTTACACAGTTAAACAGGCATTTGGACCAACCAAACAGGGTACTACAAGCAGGTAGAACAGAGAAATAGGGGAGAATCTAGGACTCACAAGCATTCTAGTGCAAACCACTGGGAGGTGGTAATTAAGAATGAACTTGAGGGGAATAAACAGTGCTTTGTCCAGAAAACATTTTGGAAAGGAAAGGAAGTCTAATTGTTGAGGAAATATAGTTTATATAGAGATTAGACGCCTGCCATGACAACAATGCATCACAAAATAAACATAACGAAAGTACAGGACATGGCCGTGGCAGAAGCCATGGTGCTGAGACACGGGCTTAGGAGAACTTTAGATAGTAACGAGCTCTCAAACAGCCTTTTATATTTGGAATTGTTCAACTATACACTGAAGATGATTCTTTTACTTTAAAAGTTGTCACATTCCCTATCATCAGGGTCACTAGTCTCATGGGCCGTGGTATGACGAATCAAAGAGAAGTAAACCATTCTTTAGCCCTGGAGGTGCGGCTCAGGGTCTGTTCGGTCGGCAAGGGTCTGACGCCTTCCAGAAGCACCTGCTGACTGTCCTGTTCCCCACTTAACAGGGTTGTTCATGAACCGATTGATTTACACTTAATCTGGTCACAAATTCCTCTGAGAATCCGGTGAGAACCAAAGACCTTCTCCTTGAGAAAAAGCACAAATACTGGAACATGCACATTTATAATTTTTAGGGGAATTAGGGACCCTCTAAAACCCATCCCGTGGGCTCCCAGCAGTCCAGAGGCCTCATATTAGTAACCCCTGCATGGAGGCTGTCAGTACACTCGAGAGGCCGTGCAGAGAATGGAAAAGTTCTGGTTATTGCCGGTGTCGGAGTTAGCTGCTTAAGAGAAGGGTGGACTCTTCAGCTGATGGCCAGCATGAGAACAAGATGGCTTATGTTTTCTAGTGTTGGTTCATTCCGTCGGGTAGACACGGGGGCTGTGTTAAGTCCTTGATTCTGAATTCTCTTGTGTTAAGCCAGCGTCAGGTCCTCTTTGGGAAAGCCGTCTCTCACAATTCTACTTGAATGGCTCGTGTGCTGTCCTGCGGGACCTGGATGGCACAGGGAATGGACACAGGTTGGAAATACCAACCTGGCCACCTCCAGAGTGCAGCGTGGCCTGGGCCGGCTGGCACCCCTCTTCCAGCCCTGGAGACCCAGCCGGGCTGCTTTTAGAGGCGGAAGGCTTTCGACAGTGGGAAGCTCTTGCTTCTGAGTGTGCGATGTAGGTTTTCCTATCTGAAGCTGAACATCTGCTTGGGCCCTGATGCCTTTGAAGATAGTCCTTTTCCTGTGTGGCCTTTAGACCACGGAAGCCCAGCTGGCCGTCTTCTGTTAGTGGGTACCTGACTTGCAA